AAATGGGTCGAGCAAATTCTTTGTTTCAAGGAAATGTACAAGTCGGCAGTTTACCATTTTTTTGAAAAGTTTGCACAAGCAGCTTGTAAGTGCGATAGGCCTATAGCTCGAAGCTGAAGAAGGGTCCTTGCCCTCTTTGAAAATGGGAATAATAATAGCCTCTTTCCAGGAAGTAGGGATAGCGCCAGAGAACTAGATAGCATTGTACAAGCAAAGTAAGGTTTTTTTGTGTTGCAATTGGTAGATTTTTCAACATTTCATACACCACTTGGTCAGAACCTGGGGCAGAATTACTGCAGGAGTTCAGTGATGTTTGGGGCTCAGCTAAGCTGAAAGTTTGGTTATATGGCTCGTATCTAGTAGATTTGTGTTCGGGTTTCTGCTTTTCTATTCTTGTTCTGTATATTTGAAGAACATCAATATAGTGTGACGAGCTGGACACCCGTTCGAAGTGTGCCCCGAGGAAGTTCGCCTGATCTTTCAAGCTGTCACCATGTGTGTTTATGAGTGTGAGTGAGTGTACTTGTCTTCCTACTACCCTACTAACCATGTTCTAGACTTCAGCCTCCTGTGTATACGAGTTGATCCCCGTTAAAAACTTGTGCCAACTTTCCCTTCTGGCCTACCGATGCGTTCTCCTGCCTTGAGATTTTATTTTCTTAAACCTATAAGGTTTTTCGCGGTCGGTGAGTTCCGCAGCAACCTCCATGCCCTGTTCTGCTACTTCCGCACATTCCCACATTCAATGTTTTACCATGGCACGCGTCGCTAGGCGGGCAGTCCAGATGTTTGCGGGATGCATGTGGCTGCTGCGTCAGTAAGAAATGCTCTGAAGGACTACACAGCTTCATCTATGCCTAACCCACATATGTCAGTCCAACTTAAATGAGTAATGTTATGAAATTGTTCCCAGTCGGCTTTGTTTATCAGCCATTTGGGAACATGTGGGGGCATTCATATAATGTTGGTGTACTCAAAACTAAAGGAAAATTGTCACTTCCATATGGATTATTTATGACATTCCATTTAAGTAAGGGTAGAAGTGAAGGAGATACGATACTGAGGTTCATAGACAAGTATGTATTGTTAGCGATGTTATAGTACGTTGGTTCCTTCCTAATTAACAGACAGGCACTGGAAGAAAAAAGAAACTGTTCAATGAGACGGCCTCGTGCATCACAGCGAGAATCATCCCACAGAACGCTATGTGCGTTCAGGTCCCCAAGGACCAGATAAGGTTCAGATAGTTCATCTATTAAAGACTGAAATCCAAGTTTTTCAAGACGGTGGTGAGGAGATATGTACAAAGAGCAGACAGTGACGAGTTTGTTTAGAAGAACTGCTCGGACAGCCACCGCCTCAAGGGAAGTTTGAAGGGGTAATTGTGTACATGCTATCCCTTGACTAACTATAACAGCTACACCACCGGATGATGGCATGGCATCATCTCTATCCTTTCAGAAGATTACGTAGTTACGTAGAAAGTTTGTGTGTGTTCGTTTTCAGTGTGTCTCTTGTACACACACCACTCTTGGATTGTGTTCATGGAGGAGTTCTTGTAGGTCATCGGGGTTTCGAAGAAGGCCTCGGATGTTCCACTGTAATGTTTCTGTTTGCATATTAAGAAGAGATGCTGCTGTGTGTACAGAGAGTATCCTGTGTTGGAGTGAACTTGATTCAGGTGGCAGGACGGTCGTCCAGCCCTGTTATGAGCTTTTTATTTTTCTTGGCCCGCTCCAAGGAGCCATGCCGCTCTTTCAGCACCAAGGGTACTGTTGTATCCATCGCCTCCTCGGAGGCACTGGATGCCTGCACATGCGAGCAGGTGGTTCGGATTTTAGGCCTCGCCTGATGAGGTGAGGCCTTGAGACCAGAGGACCCAGGAGTCTCTGGTCTCGATTCGCTAGGAGGCGGAGTAGACTGAACTACTGCTGCCTTGGGGGCAGGCGCCACAGCCAACTGCTTGCTCTGCGCTGGCCGAAGGAGTGGGGAGGGCTGGTGCGACGCTACCCCCTGACGCGCCATATCAGCATATGATTTCGAGACATAGAATGGCGAGACCCTTCTTCTTGCTTCTTTAAATGAGATGTTTTCCTTCACCTTCAACGTGATGATTTCTTTTTCTTTCTTCGATAATAGACATGACCATGAGTATGAGGCATGATTTCCACCACAGTTGACGCAGTGTGCCGGTTCTGTGCAGGTAACGGAGGTGTGACCCAAAACTCCACATTGTGCGCAAGTGTGGTGACCACGACAGCTTTGTGAGCAGTGGCTATACCTCTGGCATTTAAATAAACGCGAGTTAGGTATGTATGGCCTGATCGAAGTCTTCGTGTACCCAGTTTGAATAGTTTCTGACAGATTACTGGAAGCGAACGTGAGTATAAGGTGTTTCGTTGGTGCTTGCTTGTTGTCTCTTCTGATGATAATCCTTTGTACAATAGTCCCATTCTGACTTTTCCACCCCTCCAGAAGTTCCGCTTCAGTCAGGCCAAGCAAATCAGCGTCAGATACCACTCCACGAGTTGTGTTCATTGATCTGTGTGGTGTTACAGTCATCAGAGTGCCGCCAAAAGCTGAAAGATTGTGTAGCTTCTCAAACTGTTTTTTTATTTCTCAAACTTCGAGGAGGAGGTCTCCGCTGGCCATTTTGGTAAATATATACCCGGCGCCAAGAGTTTCTGTAAGACACCTGGACACTACAAAGGGGTATACAGTTCTGGCTTGATTGCCACTTTTCTTACTATGTGAGACATGAGAACGGGGGAAGTTTTCATTTGATTGGCTGAAAAAACCAGTCTTCGGTGAGTAAGCACTTCAAGGTAGTACGATCACTTAACAGAGGAAAAGCCCTATGCATGCCTGTTTAATTTTCTGCAGAAGCCTTGGCGGTCACCCACCACGGAGCCCAACAAGAGGACGCTACAAGTTTGCGGATGCTAAAACTTGTAGACGGCAGCTGTACAACGCTACTATAACAAAATGCGCCTAGACCAAGGTAGGCTATTTCCACAAGGTTAACCTTAGCCGCCTGGAAATTTGGAAGTAAATGGAAAAGAGTAGAAGACAGGATAGATAAAAAGTGAAAGGTAAAGACAAAGAGAGAGAGATCAGAAAAGGCAACTGCCGACTTCCCCTGGGTGGGTCAGCCCGTGGGAGCCGTCTACGTGAAGCCGGGGCCAAAGGGGGTGCATTGCCTCTGCCGGGGGGCCTTAAAGGTCCAATCACTCGGCATTGGCTCAACCCCCAGGATCCCCCTTTTTCCGGACACGGCAAAGCCACGCACGGCTAGGGGGGGGGGGGGAGTCGTAACTCCCCCGTTAGCTCAGGTCTGTGATGTTGCTATGCACTAAACGCCTACTTGCGCAGACGCCCCTGCGGGGGAAAGTAGAAAGTGATTCAGGCATTACGTGAACGTCTCTTTTGCCACTGAGGAACCCGTACCTCAAAATGGCCAGAAATCTATGGGCCGTACCTGGCACCCTCAAGTAAGAACAGTAAATGCGTGTGTGTTCAATAAAGCATTTCTGTAGTAGCACAGGTGAGCATTTTTTATATGGGCTCTTCCACCACCATGTTGAATTTTTGTCCGCGACTGAGCAAGGATATTCCCTCCAATGCTTGTCTGATTATGATTTGTCGTAAGGGGGCACGCTTGCTCGGGATTTTACAGTAACTTCAGTTCATTGACACTCACTGTGTCGCACATTTAAGTTCTGCAAACATATTCTACGACACCACCCAACCTCCACAGAGTATAGAACAGCAACACACCTAGACAGAGCAACACACAGCCCTTAAAAAATAATCCTCAGAGACTCTTACCATAGCCACTTATTTGAAAAATAAAATCAGTGGGGTGCCTTTGAGTAAAATATAATTCTGCGATCTTCATTAAACAGAAGTGTCAAGATCATTACTTCCTCCACAATGTTCGAGGTATTTCGATGAATTAAAAAAAAAACAATGCATGGCGAATGAGTGTAGCTAAATTTAAATGTACGCACGAATAAAAAAACATGAGGCTTTTGACAAAAAGCCGTACCAGCCAACCTCGAAGCATGAAAACTTGGGAGACTGCAACGGAGGAGAGGGGGCTTGCATATTGGAAATTACCGAGACTGAGTCATTTTTGGATGCGCTGTCGTTGCTTCCGTTCACTGCAATTGCAAAGGCACGGCATTTCAGAACCTTCACCTTTGTCCTTTCGGCATCTGCAGCCACTTTCGCGATGATGGCAGATGTTCTCATATGTCCCCAACGCTTCGCGTCCTTGCACTTCGCGACTGTTTTCCGAAACAACGGTCCTTCATGATCATTAATGCTTAGCAGCAATTTGTGTCCCATAAGCAATTGAATGAATAGGCATTTTGCATAGACCGCACAATCTTCTCAACTCTTTTGGAAGAAACTTTCAATGTTGCCTCGTCCTTGCGCAGCACGAACGTAGTTCTGATGCTTCTGTGAAGCGATGTGCATCTTTGTCATCCTTACCGCCATGCGAAAGGCTTGCATCACAGGCGAACGTAGTACCGAATCCATACTAGTGACCTTTCCATGAAGACACAAAGCATGGAAACTCAGCTGCGTCCGTGTCAAGAAACACTTGCGAGTACTACATCTTCGCTTTTGACACTCGGGGAAATGCACAACTCCCACAACCACGAAACAAACACAACCGACACCTCGGAAAGTGGCATAGGCCCAGCGGACAAAATGTGGGGGCCAAGACAGGCAGAGACAAAAGTTGTGGTACTTTTTTTCCTGTCACCTCCTTTTGTTACGGCAGAGAGTGCATCTTGATTTGTACAATGTACTATTGAAAGATTTGGGCGCAATTCAGAAGTCTCCTGAACAATTCGGGAGAGTTAGAAGGATTTCAAATCAACAGCTGCACAAGCGAGCTTGACAAAACCAAGGTGCGATGCAAATGTTGAAGTGGCAAGAAAGAAACAAAAACTCTCATGCCACATGTGGCGTGGGAGGCAAGGACTCACCTCTCCTCATCACTTCCATCGTCTGTTTTCCGCCGCAGGTTCCTTTTCTTCGACATTTTCTGTAAAATCAACAACAAAAAAGGCTGCAGAACATGACCTCGCACTAAAATAGCCTTAAAGTTTTATTGAAAAAAAAAATGGCACTAAACAGCCACTTCTAAAAAATTATGAACCAAACGGAACAACTAGCAATTTAATTGAGTATAATTTCAGTTCACAGCTTTGAAGTAAGAAACCTTACTGTGTGTCTTCTCTTCATTTTCACGGCATTCTCCAGGGATGACAACCTTGTTGGACATAAGTAACTTGACATCACGATTTGAGGTTTGCAAACATTTCAAAATTTTGCGAATTGCCAAACCGATAAGGAAAGCAATAGTTCTGAATATGTTCAAACAATTCCTCAATGGCAACATATAAATACAACTGTCCAAAAGTTCATGACCTTCGAAAGTAAGAAAAAAAAAACCACAGTCTCAATGTTCTGTAAAACCGCATATTTTGGCTGGACATAAAAACATCCCTTTTCTATTGTTATCAGCAACAAACACAATGTAGATTTACTTGAAATCAAGTATATAATGAGCCCTCACAGCTGCTTTGCTTGTCAAACAAGCCCAAAAACAAAGTAAACTGCAAGCAAGGTTTCAAACTACCGGTGCCATCTAGGCTCTCTATTCACAAACTCCTGTGCCTTTTTTCATTTTTTTTTACACTTTACGGTGATAGCTGTTTTCTAAAGGTAGCTTCAAATAATCATCAAAAGCCACCCCTAACATGTGAGGCCGCACGCTCTCAACTTGTCTAAACTACAGGTTTAAAAGCTAATCTTTGCCAGCTAAGTAATGATGATCACAATGATAGGCAGCAGCCTTGAAGTGAACCTTTCATTCAGCTACCATTGATGGCTCTCATCGGTTCCATACTTGGCAGGCAATGCTACAAAGACAATGCAAATAGTACTGGCATAGACGCCTCGTTCAGTGTGTTTAAAGGACCAGTAAACAGGCTCCAATTTTTTCATACCCCACAAACAAGCTCGTCAACTGTAACAGTAGACCGCGGCATTCACACTTTCCGCACATTACAGCGCTTTGCACCACACAGACTCTCTATTTCAAAAAAAAATTTTATGCCTGCTTTTTTTTGCTTGACCAATCCTCCTGGATTGGTCAAGCGAAGGAAGGTCAAGCACAGAGACGAAAACTTGTCCATGGGCAACTTGACGCACCACTGAGCTCGTTGATTGGTCCTTTACCGGATGAAACAGCGCCTTGGCCCTGTGGTGATGCAGTTTCGGTCTCACAGTTTGCATTTTCATTTTCCTGTGCCGGCCACTGCTGTTTTGTAGAGCCCGACTCCCAGGAGCAGCAGTATTGCCAGAACGAAGGCATTCGAGATAAAGAGCTGTCGCACTGCAGTAAAACCTCACTAACTTGAAGTCACTGGGACCGTGATAAACATTCGAATTAAGTGGGTTTTTGAATTATCAGAACATACAAAAAGTGGGATGCAAGAAACTTGAAGTAATCAGGGCTGGTCCTTTGCTGTGCCAGCTAGTTTGCACCCCCAAAGGTTGTTTTCCAGCAATACCAGGTCACAATTTCACCTCAAACAAGGTGGAACGCCGGGTCTCACTGCTGCCACGGCAAAAAAGAAAAAAAAAGAAAGAAAAAATTGGCATAAAAAACTAAAATGTGCGCCTGCAAAAAAGAGGACGTCTTCACTGCAGCACAGCAGTGACATGCGGCCAGCATTTCTCCTACCCCTCGCTGCGTCAGCATGTCATGATGCGACCATTCGCCCATTCTTTCCAGTAAAATAAAGAATTGAATAATGGACAGTGAGACAGAATTCGTGATGTGTTTTGGCTGGAGAACATGATCATTGAAGCTTTCGAGCCGAGTTTTCGAAGTAGGCATTGCAGGCAAGAACTCTGCCAGCATTGCAAGAGCGAAAATTGCTGAAGCAACTGACACTCGGAGGTTGGCATACCTCGTGAATTTTTCCAGACTGTCCTTTACCATCTTTTTTATATTCCAAGAAAAGATAGATAAATCATGACACGCTGACATTGCGAGAAGCATGCAACATGCTGCCAGAGAGTCACCGCTGTGTTGCAGTGAAGCACATCTTTTCGCAGGCGCACATTTCAGTTGATCATGCGACCGTTATTTCTTTTTTTTGTTTTTTCGTGTAATTTTATTTTTCGAGCTGCAAGTATCAACGTTCGCATACTTCAGCTGCCACTCGTTAGTATCACTACAGTACATTGCCTAGTGGCTCTTAAGGGCTGTTGTTCCCGCGGTTTTCCGGCGAAATAGGGATCGCGTATTGGCACACCTTCACCCAAAGTTTTGGAATTAACCAGAATGGTGCTGACCGCCACTTTAAGTTATCCGCACAGGACCGCAAAAGTACTTCGAACTAGGTGGGATTTCAAAATAACCGAGTTTGAATTAATGAGGTTTTACTGTACTTTACAGTTATCAGAGGGGGGGGGGGGGGGGGCTTGCTCCTCTTGAACTGTGCTTTTTTTTTTTTTTCAGAGCCTCAATGACACATTCTCAAGTTGGAGATGCCCTGATCAGTCGTTGCCTGCACGCCAATGATGTATCACTGATATCGCATCATGTTGCACAAGTGGGCAAAGTCACGATGAACGGGCTACGCCTTTCTCCCTCTCTATGGCAGAGAAGGATGGTGAGGCCACGCATACATTTGAAACCTGCTGAGGATGGATGTTCTAACCCCTATAACTTCCTTATTATAGCACACATTCACGAAATTTTTATGGCAGCATGTTCACATAGCAAAATTTTTCATAACAATTTTTGGGCCTTGGGGTTGGCCCTTTTAAGAAATGCAGTCTTTTTTTTCTTTTTTTCTTGGCCTGTGATCTCACCAAAAAATAAATACCAAAGTAGTAATGTGTAAATAATTCTTATTCTCGAACTGTACGGTTAATGCTGTAGTCATTCATAATGGCTAAACTTAAGATTATATGTGGGGTTTAACGTTCCAAAACCACCATATGATTATGAGAGATGCCGTATTGGAGGGCTCCGGAAATTTCGACCACCTAGGGTTCTCAACGTGCACCCAAATCTGAGCACACGGGCCTACAGCATTTTCGCCTCCATCGAAAATGCAGCCACCGCAGCCGAGATTCGATCCCTTGACCTGCGGGTCAGCAGCCGAGTACCTTAGCCACGACACCACCGCGGCGGGGGCTAAACTTAAGGTCAAAGCAAAAGAAGACACTAAGTATGATGTGAGCACTTCACGTGTGTTTAGGTCATGGCAATGCATTCCCCGAGAGTGCTTTTCCTCTGTACATGAGTATAACCCGCAATAAAATCTTCAGTGGCTTCGCTGTCCGCTGTTACAAACTTCTGTACCTTAACCTGGTGCCTAATCCATACTAACAAAGGCAGTAATAAAGAGTGGCAAGTGTCCGACAATGACCACAGCAAGAAATAAACACCTCCAATTCCTTTACTGAAGGAGCTCTATCGCCCTCAGTCACCCTTGCAAAAGGTACAGATTAAGCATGTGCAGTTAGGCAATACTAATCATATGTAACAACAGCATGACTGTGGTTGAAGGGGTGAACCAACAGGCTTCAACTTTTTGTCTACATCTCCCACATAAGCATGACAGTTTGTGCAGACAGTTACGATAATCCCTTTTTTTTATATATATAACAACACCGTGCAGACTCTCCATTTCGAAAAACCATTGCCGTGCCCCTCTCCTATGCCTATCTATCTTTCTAATATGCAAAGTGTTGTAATATCGCCCATGGATAGCATTGCGCGGCACGGACTTTGTCGACTGGACCTCTGAACTACAAAAGGGTACTCTGGCCTTGCGTAACGTGGTTTTGGCTGCACCTTTTATCGGACTGCCACTCTGACACAAGCGACACGTAGAGGAAGCCTTGCTCAATTGTTGGCAGCACGCTAATGATGTCATCACTGCCGTCAAGTTACGTTGCCAAAGTGGGGGTAGCCACGACTGCGGGCTTCGCCTGCCGCTCTTTGCTTTCAAAAATGATGGAGAGGCCAAGCCAGATACCGAAACCAGCCCAAACGGGATGTTCTACACCCTGTAACTTGCTTATTACATACTGCATTTAATCATGAAATTCATGCAGCACCATGTTCACATTGTACAAGTGCTTAGTTATCACTTCATCACACATTTTTCATTTAATGAGGTTGTTTGCTGGCCCTTTGAGGAGATACACAACTGATTTTTCTCAACCCACCTTTTTTACGTCATGACAGAAAATCCACTTTTGTAGCATTTGTAGCTGCAGTAGGTATTTCCAAAGGCAAGCAGTTATTTTATAAGCAGTAGTTTTCGATCTGAAAGGCCCTAAACACGGACATACCTTTCCTCCAGCAATTATGAGAATTGATAGCGATACTGCCTGTCGGTCCTTCTGATTTGTGAAAACTGTCGCCATTCTGCTTTTGTGGGAATTCCTGAAACTATGCCTGACCACCTCTATTTTGAGCTTTTCAATCATTTTTAAAAATAACCATAGAGTTTCATACAATCATACCTAGAGAGGAATCTGGCGCTGCCATCGTGTACCGCCATGGGAATCATGGGAAGTACAGGTGTCGGATTGAATAGGGTGAGCTAGCGAACTATCTACAGACTTTTTTTCTGCAGTTGTTTTGTTCTTTGAGCAGCGTGGGTGGTGGGGTGCGGTGAAAAGCACTGAAACAGCACCTTCGTTATTGAAAGAGGCTGAAGACCAATAGGTCTGAAGTTTGCTACAGCTTTGGAGCTTTACAAGTCATATTTGACAGTTTATTCGAAGCATTGTCCACTCACCGCTGCGCATAGATGTAGCATCTTATGCCAGTGCAGGATATTGCATCGAGTTTTATGTTTTTTCAGGAGCACGTCGTGCCTATTTCGAATATACTGCAATACGATGATGAAGCTAAGTAGACGCACAATCATGTTCTGCCGGCTCGACTTCACAACAATCTAGAGGTGCGTTGGGGGCAGACCACTTGGACAGACGTGCCTGGCATTG